CGCCCCACACCGGGGATCCAGCCTGCAACCCGGGCATGTGCCCTGACAGGGAATTGAACCTTGACTTCCTGGTTCATAGGTCGACGCTCAGCCACTGAGCCATGCCGGCCGGGCGCAGTTTCCCTTTAAAAGGCAAACCACGGCGAGCACGAACTGGAGGAGGGAAACACCTTGTGTCACCCAGGGAGCCCTGGGAGCAGGATGTGGGTCAGATTTCCCAGGGGCCGGAGGCTTCATTTCAGGCTCCTGTGAGATCAAGATGCAGTCTCGGCTTGCTGCTCTCGACTTCTGGGTGGGGGCAGCGCTGGGAAAGGTGTCAGTGGGGCAGGAGCAATGCCCATCTGGCTTCACCACCTTCGAGATGTAAACCTTGGGCAAATGACCCTGGGCAAACTCTCTGCAGGCCTGTTTCTTCATCTGTAAATGGAGGATAGCCGCCCAGAGGGCCCCTTAGAGGACTCCACGTCTTGTGTGAAGTGCCGGGCGCACACAGGGTGCAGAAGTCTATCCTGTTCCCTTGTGCGTGGGTGCGTGACGAGGGGCAGTGTTTTGGGGGCAGGCCTCACATTGCGCACTGTTGGTGGACATCTCCTTTGGAAAGGGCTTTCCCACTGTGAAGTAAATCCTCCTAAAATGCAGCCATCCCGCCCTGGCTGGGTGGTTCAGTGGGTGGCACCGTGGTCCCGATACACCAAGGTTACAGATTTGATCTGTGGTCAGGGTACATGTAAGAATCAACCCATGATGGGGGGATGAGGACACATTTGTAATACCTTAACCAATAAAGAAGTTTTTAAAAAAAATCAACCCATGAACGCATACATAAGCAGAACAACAAGTCGATGTTTCTCTCTCTCTCTCTCTCCCTTAAATCAATCAATAAAAAAATGTTTTTCATGCGGTCATCCTCCAAGCTCTGCCTGCTGGAGCCTCTTCCAAGCATCTTGCCAAGAGGGGCTCCCCCAGGCAGCACAGACAAGCCCGCACTCCCTGCGAAGCCACCCCCGCTGGAGGGGTGATCTGGGATCACTCGCAACTTCAGGGTTGCTACTCTGCGGGCGGAATCAGGGTGAAAACAGCCCGTTCCAGGAACGTTCTCCGATGGCCCCGGGGTAACTGAGTATCTGACGAGTTTTGAGAAAACCCGTTTTGTTAGGGCGGCGTGGGTGTTGTCTCCAGAAAGCATGCGTTAATGGGGTTGTAACTAGCACAGTGGAAGCCTGCTGGATTGCATCACCTTTTTATTCCAGTGGCTCCGAACCTCGGCCAACAGAACTCCCAGGGGACCCATCGCCGGGCTCTGATTCACGGCTGGAGCCTGAGGAGCAAATACTAGGTGTGTCCAGCTTTGCCGAGGAAGAGCGTCCGGAACCGTGACCCTCAGAGGTTGTTGTGAAAACATCCTACAGGGAAGGCCACGTCCAGCTCACCATTAGTCATCTCACGGACGGACTGATCTCAGACTGTAAGCAATTCCTGACCATCACTGACCTCACATGTAGATTTTTTATCGGGAAGGACTCGGCGTGCTAGCTCCAAGTGAGAATACTCTGGCCGGCTCCACGCCTACAATTCCTGTTGTAAAGCCATAAACTCCCATTCCATCCAGTTTACCCATCAATCTCCTCCGAGTCCCGATCAGAGACAGAGCAAGCCCAGGTAAAGTGTTTTCTGGGTCCGCGGGCACTGGCATGTAGGGGTCACGCCAAGGCCCGGGGTGGGGGGGTGGGGGTGGGCAGTCAGCCCTCACCAGGCACAGGTGCACCTGTCATCTCCCGGCCCCGGCAGCGGGGGTGGGGCCACTTCACAGGCCTCGCCCACTGGAACGTGAGCAGACATGAGGTATCGCAGCCAAAGGCGGTTAAGCGTGAACACGAGCCCCCGTGCTCTTTCCCCACCGAATGCACAGCTGGAAGCAAAGAACGCCAAGAAGGCAGGGTGTTAAATGCAAGCAGCCTGGCTTTGCTGGTCACCAAGGGAGGAGAGGCATCGGAAAAGTCCTGACCTGCGGTGGACTGGGACCTGAGCTGGAAATAAGCCTTGACCGCCCAGCCGGTGTGGCTCAGTGGTTGAGCGTCGACCCACATACCAAGAGGTCACGGGCTCCATTCCTAGTGAGGGCACATGCCCAGGTTGCGGCCTTGATCCCCAGCAGGAGGCGGCCAGTGGATGTTTCTCTCTCATCGATATTTCTATCTCTCTTCCTCTCTCTAAAAGTCAATAAAAACCTATTAAAAAAAAAAAAAGCCTTTGCTGTGTCAGTGCCTGGGACTCCCCGGAGCCCTGCCCTGGGCATTAGCAGCAATCCCTCCAGTCCCTCCCACGAATGCAGTGCCTGCAGCCTGCTCGGTGCTTCTCTCCAGCACACACACCTCTAGCTCTACATTTCCCGCTTGTGCAGGAAGAGACATCACTCCAAGTCCAAGTCCCACTCCGCCCGGGACAGCGCTCTGGGGCCCACTCTTCCTCACTGGCAAAATCAGGGGAAAAGACAATTCCTGCAGGAGCTCTTTCCTCCCCTGAGGCTTTCTTGGGTCTAAGCTGTCCGGGATTTTGGCGTGGGGCCGGGCACACAGTAGGTGGTCAGGAAAGCCCGGCCATCGCGGTGATGCAGACGCATCTGACTACCTCGGCGAGGGTGGAGCAGGCGGTTTCCTGTTGCACAAGTTCACAGGTCATCAGGCATTTATAAAGAAAACGTTTATTTTCATCACAAGAAGCACACGGACTATATACAGTACACACCGACAGAAGTAAAAAAAAAAAAGTGCATTATGCATCTTCTACTGCAAATTCACAGTACAAAAGATACTGCCTTTTAAATATATACTATAAAAAAAAAACAATATAATAAAAAAATTGGTATCATTACACAACACACTGGAACCCACTGGCAGCTTCTGAAAACCAAAGGGCAACCATCTTGTGGAGCTCCTGATTTTGGGGGTGGGGGTGGGGGGAGGGTGTCTGTACCTGCATTTTGTTGCAAAGAGCTCAGGACACCAACAGAGAGGAAAACGGGGTGGCTTAGGCGGTAATAAAAACCTCTATTAAAGAAGAGGACAGCTGTGTGACGGGGGAACGGGTGAGGGTTGGGCTGCCGTCAGCACCCCCAGCTGCCAGCACACCAAGTTCTAGTCTTCCCTCACTATCACGGGACGCGCGAGGCGTGGGCCAGGGCCGGCCTCGCCTGCAGGAACTCCCAGAGCCGGTTCGAGCCACGCTCCTCGGACAGGTGTGGGTGCACGTGCGCGAGAGACTGCACAGCAGATGAGCACAAGGACGGGGCAGGGCAAGCTCCAGCCCTAACGCCAGCCACCACGGACAAGGCCAGGTATCCAATCACAGAAGGTGAGAGCTTAGCACTTTCCCATAAATACACAGTATTTGTAAACTATGATTAAGGCACTCAATTGTAAAACAAATAATTACAGTGTCCAAGGAGGGGGGAAGCAGCCACCTCCTCGTGCAGCACAGCCGACAGGAAGGACAGCAGGGCACTGGGGGTCTGGCTGGGAAGCCTCCCCGTGTCAGGGCCGAGGCCAGGGCCGCAGCACCTCCTCCAGGACCAGAACAGGGCAGTCCTGTCCGGAGCTACCGAGGGTGTGGCACCACCCAGTGTCACTGCAGACCGCCCCAGGGGATCCGCCTCACAGCGTGGGGACGGTGCGTGTGTGAATGAGAAGTGATGCACATGATGATATGATTCAAGTTATACTTATATATATATATCTATATCCAAATATATATATATATATATATATATATATATGCAGAGTGAACTCAAACACAACAGGCATTCCATGGCAGAGCAGACAATAAAAAGACAGTAGCTGAGCATTGGGTCAATCAACTACCTTGGTTTGGCAAGCAGCGTCAGCGAGAGCCTGCGGGGTGGGACCAGAGTGGGCGGCCCTGCACCGCACTGTCCAGATGTCACCATCTTCCCAGCCTGCCTGGCTCCACGGCCAGAGGTGAAAAGGCCGCCCTGTTAGGTGGGGAGCCAGGGGAGGGTTGGGTGAAATGTATTCCGGCGTCAAGCATTTCCAGGCAACAGAGAGCAAGTCTCTCTTCGGACACCTTGGGGGAGGTGACTTACATGATCTTGACTACATGATACAGCGTTTGTTCCCAATAGAAACAGCCTCGGGGGAGCAGGGGGATTCCTCTTCCTTCTAGGATCGGGCCTGTGGGGAGAGACAAGACCGCCAGGGTACAGGGCTGTCCTCAAAGTGTTAATTCTATTGCAAACTTGGCTCCATCCTGGGGCATCCTCTGGGCGTACCCATGAGGGAAGAGGCTTTGGGATGGGCTGGAATGCCTTCAGCTGCGAGGGCGGGTGGACAGAGGGGGGTTGGACAGTGCAGCCACCTGAGGGCCCGGTGAGTGACCTGCACACCAGGTGGACAGGGTGTCATCTCCTGGCAGAGAGCTGTCACCAGCCCAGGGGTCTGAGACCAAGGAGGCAGGGAAATCGCACGAGTAAGAAGAACCTTGTTCTTCAGAAGCTCACGCAATGACAGACATCGCTCCACGACAAAGAAATGGAAATCGACATCGTCAGAGCGCATCTCCTTGCTCCAGGATCAATTTCCCCCTTATACCTAACAACTCCTGGCCAGGTGACCCCCCTGGACCAGTGCAACAGGAAGATCTAGATCCCTCGAACCTTTGGCGTGCCATGTGACTAAAAGCTAGGGGAAGGTGAGGTGGAAGATGAAACGAAGCTGAGAAAATGTCTGTCCTCTCCCAATTTGACAATGGCCTTCCACGAAGGGGGCAGTCACCGATGTCATGGACTTCCAGGGCACGCACCCTGCCTCTCACTCGCACCGCTCGCCTTAAGAATCTTCCCCACCAGCTAAGATTACAGACAGAACATCGGTCAGGATACGGTGCATCTTAGGGGGGGCAAAACTTCCCTTCATAGAGCAGCATGACCTGATGACCTGTCTGCCAAGGTGCCCCCCCGCCTGGCAGGATGCTCTCATCACTATATTTCAGGTAGCAATTTGCCAGATGTCGACACGCAACTGACCTGGGTCTGTGGGTCAAGAATGTCTCTTCATTTTGCTCTGAAGATGGGGCCCTGGTTTTGATGTTAATATACAAATTGTGCTTCTGAAAATGCACCGATCATTTTGACAAAAGCCAAAAACCCACTCAGACTTGTCATCCTCCTCCCACCCTTTCACGGGATAAGAAAAATTATGGCTTTCAAAATTAAAGTTTTCAAAAATATATCACTCTCATACACATGGTTTTAAAAAAGCAAAACAGCCTGTCATCACCAAACCTAAAGGATTATTTTGACACAAAAATTGATCCACCACATGAAATTTAATTTGGCAAGACATATTGGACTTGATTTTTTTTTTCTTTTTTTGAGAATATGCTTTTGTTGGCTAAGAGAGAGAGAGAGAGAGAGAGAGAGAGAGAGAGACAGAAACCTAACAGGGTTTTTGGGGAAAGTGAATAATCACCTTTTAAGGTGATTTCAGTGAATGGTGGTGGGAAAAATAAATTCCTATCAAGTAAAATAACATATATTTTTAAAAATTAAAAGGATACGGTCAGGGAGAAAAAGTTCCTGGAGAGAGGGTTTTTGTAAAAAACCAAAAACAAAACTCTCGTATTAGTTGAAATATGGACTAGCCTGGTTCCCAAAAACCCTGCCTGGTGCTTCTAGAATGGTGGCTGTCGGGGGTCCCATTCTGACCAATGTCCGGTGGCAACTCATTCATCCACTTTCAGAATCTGGCTGGTCCTTGAAGGCTTTCTAGTTTCACTGAATTAACCTGGCTGACCAGCCGGGAGTGTCCCGACCACACACAGCTACCCGCCTGCAGGAGACACCCTGGGGGTGGGCTGCAAGGTCTGGGTTGGGAGAAGGATTTGGCCTGAGGCGTCATGAGGCCCGGAAGGTTTCACATGTGCCCAGTTTCTCCCAAGAGGGCTCTGGGTAGCCCTCTGCTGTCCAATAAACCCAGGGGTCAGCGAACTTTTTCTGCACAGGGCCTGCTAATAAACATCTTAGGCTTTGCAGGCTACGTGGTCTTTGTTGCCTATGAGTTAATTTTTTTAATAACCCCTGAAAAGGGTGAAAAACCATTCTTAGCTCATGGGACCATATACCACAGTTTGCTGACCCCTGAATTCAACCTTTCTACCAGAGCCCCTTCTCTCTTCTCAAAATATTTTAACATCCTGATGTCTTGCTGACCGACACCAGATGACCCTCCACTCGAGTTCAGAGCCACGGCAGCATGAGGCACCGAGCTCACCTGACTCTTAACGGGGCTGCTCAGAGCCGGGCTGGGACCGCAGGTCCTCCCGCGCCCCGTCCACCCACTGGGAGCCACCAGAGAGAAGCGGGCGGCAGTGTCCCCGCCACGAAGGGGCAACTGTAAACATGGGGAAGCTATTCAACAGCCGCTGCCCTTAGGGAGGAACCGATCGGTTCTCACTACTGGGTCTTCTTTCTCCCCCCAAATACAAGCAGATGTGACAATGAATGAACCTGAGTGCCGGGTCCCTGGCAGGACAGCCTGCATCTCAGGACCCCGGACCTCCCAGACACCGTCAACACCTCTTCCCCGCCACGGGGCTCAACAGCAGAGGAGACCAACAGTGCTGCTGGGTCCTTCTCCCCAGATGGGGGGCAATTTGAAATCCACCACAAGCAACAACTGAGGACATCACACACGGTTTCCCCACAGGACCCCAGTACGGGCCAGACGCACATCGCTCGGCGGTAACAACACGCCAGGACCGAGGGGTCGGCAGCACAGAGGACCACGCCCCACAGAGCTGGTTCCACAACAGCCTCCGACACCTTCGAATCCCTTTCCCTCGCAGGGCTCGGTGTGGTCACATTAGAAATCCTATCACCTTTTGGGGTCCCAAACAACAACAAAATTCCTTCTTGGGAACCCTTTTGCTGACACAGCAGTATTCCCTGGAATGAGCCTTGGGCATCACTGTATTTTAAACATAAAAAGCACAGCAAGAACAGAGGTAGGACTTAATATTGCCATCCAAGACTTTTCCCACGCGGGCTGAATGAGCTAGGACCGTGAGGCTGGCGACGAGGCCGCCACCACAGCTGTTCTGTGCCTGTTGCAAACAGCGTACTTGGACGTGTGTGCGTATCTGTACATGCCCTGCAGGCACGATTCTCCTGGAAAACGCGTGACTCGGGCTCAGAGTCTGCTGGCCACACAACAGACACTCCCCTTTCCTCCTGGGCTGCGAGTTCTTAAACGCCACTGTTTGAGGGAAATCGAGACGCGAGGGGCTGACCGGAACCCGTGGTGAGACTCAGGGAGGGGTCATGTGATCAGCTGGTGGCGGGTCAGCTTTTGCTCAGCCACGAGGAGCTTTCGGGGGCGGGTTTCCCTGATGGTTTAGAGGGGGCGGCTGGGTTCCGCGGGGTGGCCTGGGGCTCGTGCAAGAAGAAGGAGGAGGCCTCGCTCGACTTGGCGTCCTGGGAGTCGGCGATGGTGGACAGGTCAGCCTCACTGGTCAGGTCTTCCGTGGAGAAGTCAAGACTTCCGAGCTTGGCAAGAGAGTGCGAGCGCTTGAGCGGGGACGAGACGGTGAGGCCCGCCAGCCGGAGCCGCGTCTCGATCTCCTGCGTCCGCTGCTTCACCAGCCCCGGCTTCCCGCGGACGCTGTGGATGCTGTCGCTGCTGGAGCTCCGGGTCAGGTTGGAGCTCATGGAGGACGAGGTGGGCGTGTAGCAGATGGTCTTCAGGAAGTCTTTCGAGAAGTGGCTGGTGTGGTCCAGGCGGCAGAGGAAGGGAGAGGGGCTCTTCAGCGAGGCTCCCTCCAGCGGGACGGGGGCGGCCTCCGGCTTCTCGTCACTCGCCCCCGGAGGCGGCGGCAGGTCGGGAGCCAGGTCCTGGCTCTCCTCTGGGAAGCTGGCCTCC